TACATTATATTATATTAATTAATACATTTTTCTTACCTTGCTTTTGTGATTGAAAAAAATAACCAAGTATATTTAGCCATTGCGTTGCAGTTGATATACTAATAATTTTCTTTTTGTGATATCAGAATTAATAAATAATTATTGCTTAACAAATTCTTTAAATTTCAATGGGAATAACTTTTTTACCTTAAGATCGTATCTATATATAGCATTTTTCTACTATATCTTTATCGTCTATTAATTGCATAATTTTTTGATGCTTTCCTTGACGACTTATTGAAAGATAATTATGCTGAAACCAAAAATTTGCCCAATGTTGAATTGATCTTGCTCTATATGGTGCACAATCAATAAAAACCAATTGTGCAGCTTTCACATTAACGTTTATTTTTCCTTTTCCATTATCTAATTTCTTCAAATATTCAAAAATTGCTCGCATTTTATTATATTCAATTACTGTTAACGATTTTGCTTTTCTTTAAATTCAGTTTTTAAATTTTCAATTTTTTTTTAAATTAAGCTGACCATTTTGTTCTTCATCTTCAGTATTATCTAAAACATTATTAAAGTCATTTGGAGTTGATCGATGTTTATTTATAAACGTTAAAATATTTGTAGTTTCTTTTGCAGCTTTTATAAAAGAACCACTCAGACCATATTTATCAAAATAAGTTGATTTTTTGATTTTTTCTGTAAGGTAAGGACCACGTTTCTTTTATTCTAAATGTGCATTATTTGACCAAATTAATTTGTATATATTTTATTGTCGTTTAATAAATCAACTTCATTCCAACTACTGTTATCTTTATCCCAACCACTGTTATTTACATCTTCCCAATAATTATCATCCCAATTATCAACAATTCATAATTTCTTTGCAAATGTTCCATTATCATTCCTTTCTTGCTTTTTAACCTTTATTTTTCGTTTTGATGGATGAGTCATTTTTATTGATTTGATTAAAGTGTGGGAAATGATGAACATCATTTGTTTATTAATTAATTAAGACATGAAAAAATATGGGAAAATAGGTAAAAAAAAATGAAACATATTACAGACCTTTATTATTTGCATAAATGAATAAAATTCAGAATTAAATGGAGGTGAATCTTACATTTCTTTTTAATATCAATATAAATGCATAAAGAATTTGTACAAATTACATTTTTATTGAATTGAAAGTATTGAATTAACAATAAAATATATTGGGATTCTTTATTCCAAATTTTATGATAGAATTCAATACATCTTTTATATATAAAACCTTGTGCGCCAAATTTAATTGATTTTCATATGAAATTTACATAAATGATCTAGTCCGAAATTTTCTTTTCTCCATATAGATCATATGATTTATTCTTAAACTTCCGAATTTAATAAATTTAAAAGTAAACCGATAAAAATGTTTAACTCATACTATTCTATTATTTTATCATGTATTTTATTACTTAAATTATTAACTTATAAAATTTTTAAAGTCACGTGATATTTTTGTAGTTTATAGTTGACACACACCATACCATGTATAATTTGGAATATTTTTAGTTAAACCTTTTTTTTAACTAAAAAATTAGTAAATTTCGAAACCATTTTGACCAATCTTTATAATAACTAACATGAATACAAAACTCAAAGATAAGGTTTTATTCGTTAGTGGTGCTTCTAGGTAAAATAAAAAAAATTCTCATTACAAGTAATTATCTATCATTAATGATTGAAAAATTAAAATTCAAATTTTAGGGGAATAGGTTTGGCAATAGCATTGAGAGCTGGAAAAGAAGGAGGGTAAGTTGAAGATAGAATATCAGCGATTAAGCAGGTTTTAATACGTATTTAATATAATTTTAGAAGGGTCGCCGTTGCCGCAAAGACAGCTACGCCACATCCAAAGGTGAGATAAATATTTCTTTGTGGCGCATGAAAAATCAATGCCTTACACTAATAATGTTTTCAAGTTGCCCGGAACTATATTCACTGCCGCAGAAGAAATTGAACGTGCAGGAGGAAAGGGTATTGTATTATTCACGTGATCAATTTCGTTAAGATGCATATATTCATTACTCACTTCAAAAAAATAAATAAATAAATATTATAGCTCTTCCATTGGTATGTGACATCCGTGATGAAGAATCTGTTAAATCCGCTATACAAAAAACTGTGGAAAAATTTGGTGGAATTGATATCGTTGTTAACAATGGTATGAATTGAATTCTATGTGATCTTAGAAAAAGAAAAGGTTTCTGGGTTTTTTACACGTTAAATTTCTATTCATAATAGCTTCTGCAATTTCTTTGACCGATACACAAAATACGACCCTCAAAAAATATAATCTCATGCACGAAATTAATGCTCGTGGTACTTGGTTGGTGACAAAAGTACGGATTATCATAAATTCAATGTATTTACGCATTTAATTGGTAACTCCTTTTTTGCTTTATAGTATGCGCTTCCGTATCTTATCGAAAGCGGAAGACAAAATAGAAATCCTCATATATTGAACATTAGTCCGCCACTTACCATTAAAGAACAATGGTTTTCGGGCCACGTTGCATACTCAATTGCTAAATATAATATGTCACTATGTATTTTAGGATGGGCTGGCGAATTTCGTGAACATGGAATTGCGGCAAATGGTATTATTCAAGTCCCATTGATTAATTTATAAGAAAAGTTTATTTAATTTATTAATTTATTAATTAAATAAATTGTTATTATTCATTAGCGCTTTGGCCAGTTACCGCAATCGATACTGCTGCTCTGAATATGTTGGATGATTTGTTGGCATCTAAATCTCGAACACCTCAAATTGTAGCAGATGCAGCTCAATTGATTCTCACCAAAGATTCCACACGTTTCAGGTAATCTTTTTTTTTTTTTTAAAGAAATTAGTATTTTGTTATCAAGTAATTTGCTAAAAAGTATAAATTTTTAGCGGTAATTTTGTCCTTGATGAAGTTATTTTAAGAGAGCATGGCCAGACAGAATTTGATCATTATCTTGTTACACCTGGAAATAGAGATTTAGCACTTGATTATTTTATTGAAGAAGAAGTATTTAACAAATTAAAACTTTTATGGAAGGAAGATGCAAAAAAGAAAGATCCAAAATTATAATTAATAAATTAATAAATATTATAAAATATTTTGTGATTTTAATTTGATTACAATTAAGTTTTTTAAATTTAAAAAAAGGTTTAATTCAATACATAAATGGGATTTTCACGTGATTTAATGATTTACAAATTTTATTTCTATTCTTCCTAATAAACATTTTAAGAACGAGTTTATTGGATTGGTAAATGTGTGTGTAAATTTTCAATAGTCTGTTTAGTCCTATTTTAGAAACTCTTCTAATATTTTTTTTTTTGAGTCACTAAAAATTCTATTCAAAAAGCCGGTTTGTACAACATAATTCGTAACACCTATAAATTGTCTAAAAAAAAGGAAAAAAAAAAACCTATATCGCTTGACTTTCAAGTTTCAATTTTTTAAAAAGAAATTTTTTTTTTTTTTTTTTTTTTTTTTTTTTCAATTTTGATATACCATTTCGTCCGATATTCCATTTATAAATGGGAGAATCCCCTACACAAAAAGAAGGTAGTGCTTTCGAGTGTCTCAACGATGATGTACTGGTATGAATTTTATCTGTGATAATGTAACAATCAATTTTCTCACTAGGAGTTTATTAATCATCGAATTTTTAATAACTTTTATTACATTTAGCATTTAATATTAAATAGTCTTTATGAAGCGTGTCGTTACGAATTTGACCGGTGGGAGGACCCACGCGCAAAGTATGTTAAAGCTGTTAAAGAGTTGTTACCACTTGGGTACACTTCTCGCAGTTTCGCCAAGTTAGTCATGCCCTATGTGTGGCAATACGCACGGATAATTACAAATACTACAGAGTGTCTTCACAACACTCAAATACTTAGTATCTTAAAAAAAGATCATCTCTTATTTCCTTACGGGACTTATTTAAAAGAATTGGAGATTACCTTCACAGTCAATAATGGTGATGAACGTTGCCATATAATTCCTATTATATCATCATTGCTTCAGGTTATAACTAATCGTTGTACCAATATACAACAATTGAGTTTCCTGGCAAAGGTTGGACGTAGAAATTTAAACGAGTTTTCAACTCGAAATATGCATGATGATGATAGTATTAACAAAGCATTTTTTAGACATGTGATCCTCAAGAAGACATCAAAGTGGAGTACTTTCGGGGAGTTAATTTCTTCAGCATTTGGTCAAGGTACATTGAAGGATGTGACACTAAGTTCAGATTTTGTTCTTGTGAGTGACGATTCTTTGATCATGATAGCAAAAAATAATCTCGGAATTAAAAGACTTTCTTTGAGAGGTTCCCAATTCACGAATGGGGGAATTGAGGCCGCATTAAAATTTCTGGGCGATAATTTAAGGGAATTGGAATTAAATAATTTATTGGGAGATGACAGCCGTAAAGCGTTAAGGTGTTCCCCTTTGAAGATTTGTATTGATACTTTATTGAGATCTTGCAAAAACCTACAAACCATTATCTTGGTCGGCATAGTTTATAAACCTACTGATATATTGGAAGAATATACTTGTCCAATACAGTCTATCACGGCAGACCAAGTTGACGAAGAAACACTTAAGCATCTCTTTTTGCACACTAATAAGCAAACATTATCCCAGGTTAAAATCACTAATCCCTATGACGTGGTCAAATGGGAGTCATTCCTTCGTTATTCAGTTTTGCCTTGCACAAAATCTGGCAATTTGGAAACTCTTATCCTTTACATGTTAAGATGTCGAAAGCATCGATATAATTATTCTTCTTTAGATCCAAAAGTTATCATGAAGAACATTATGGATACTTTACAGATATCCGAAAATACAGTTGATTTGCTTTGTTCAGGATTAAACCAGTGGAGAATTTTGGTGGGCAAGGATATAGGAGATCAAATGTATTCAGTTGAATCAGAAGGGGTCGATTTTGTTACTAAAACACGTATATTGGATTACGATAGTTTAGCTCTATCTGAATGCTATTAATGACATTCTCTTCAACATGAACAATCTTTTTTTTTTCTTGCTCTCTTTTTTATTGTTTTTGATCAGGCGATGTAAACTCCTTTTGTATAATGTATTTTAAAAACATTTATTCAATTGAAAAAAAAAAAAATGAAATTTCTTTTCGTTTTTATTATTTATAATTACTTTTAGTTCGCTCTCAACACTCATTTTTTAAAAATATTTCTATTCGAAGTTCATAGGTATGAATTGGTTAATATTCAAAATGACGATCCCAACATGAATGAAAAGAAATATCAATTATTTATGTTAGCGCAGGATTTTCTTAATAATGATGTTCAAGGTAATTAATAATATATAACAATTAAAAAAAAAAAAATCTTTTCGATTCTTTTTTTTTGTTATTAATGTTAATTCCTTTTTGTTCTTTTTTTCCTTAATAATTTGGGGGTGTCTTTTTTTTAATTAAAAAAAAAAGGTTAAAAATAATAAAATCTATCATTTTCATGTATATATATAGTTCTGTATTCAAAAATTTTTAAAAATTTCTAGATTTAGATTATTTAGAGGGAATAATAAAAATAATAAAAAAATATATTTGTCGAGATATTATGTAATAGGCAATTTTATTAGGTAAACATAACTAACAATAAATCGAAAACAATACCTATCTCCCTCCCATTCTTCTTACGATAAGATTTGGACTGTAGATCACAAGTCATGACTGTATCACCGACAATTTTTTACAAATCACGAGTTCTAGTGAAAAAAAAGTAACTGACTTGTTATCCTTTGGAATTTTCGGTACGAATTTTTGAAATCATGACAAATTCAATAATTGTTGTTAATGGTATCTCTGGTACTAGTAACGCCAATAAGATATCAAATATATCAAATGCTTTTAATGATATATCAAAGAAAGTTTTAAGAGCGAATTATCCATCAAAAATAAATAATTCACCACCAAGTTTAGAACAAATTTTAGAAGTTATACTATCAACAAATTTCAATACAAATAATACCTTTACTGAAGATTTATTAGAACTTTTAATTATTGGTTGCCAAACAGTTAATCCTGCTGATGAAGCTTTGACTACAAAGTTCGGTAGAATTATTATTAATTTTTGTAAGAAACATTTGGTAAGAATATGTATAAAATTATTTAATTCTCATTCTCTTTGAATTGTTTCCTTATATAAATTTTGATTTTTATAGGTTAAACTTAATGATACCTCTTCAGGACAATCCCCTGTAGAAATTATACTTTCATTTTTAATCAAATCTTTTACTAATGCTACTCAACCAGTATATGCCGTCGGCATATTGAGAGCAATGAGTCGGGTTTTATATGAGAATGGGCAGGAATGCAAAAAGGTAACAATTCCCTGTGAAAAGATTTTTTCGATCCTTTTATTTTTTTTTAACTCTAACATGAATTTCCATTTATTAAAGTTACATGATCAGCTGTTGTATATTCTTTTACCACTTGTTAAAGAAGATAATAAAAACCTCGATATCAGACGAATGGCGATAAATTGTTTAGGAAATTTATGCTATCATACGGGAAATAAATTTCAAGGAAATTATAAAATTGTTTACGAGTTACTTTTGGCTAGTTTAAATTCACCAAATCCTTCCGACGATGAATCAGCTTATCTCAAGGTATTTTAATAAAGATCGATTTCGTAAAACATTTTATCATATTAACCTGGATGATCTATTATTCCAGACCATAAGCAGCACATTGAGGGCTCTACAATTTATTGTGTTGGAAGATAAAAGTGTTTTATCGGAACCTTTTGGTTCAACGATTGAAATAATTAAGAAATATGTCTTCTATAATGTTGATGATATTAAGAAACTTCAAGCAGAAATAGGTGAATTATCATCTTTTATTGTCAATCTCTTTTTTTTTTGATAACAATGTTAAAGGCTTTATTATTTTATTTTTAGTACAGATCAATCTAGAATAGCAGCAGGTAATAGTGTATGCAATTCTAGTCCATCAACACAAAGACATTCAAGAAGGCACAGTCGAATGAAGTCTATTGGTCGTTCAGTTTTGAGTTCCGATTCAGAAATATCAGATGGAGAACACACACAATCTATTTATAAAAGGTAAAAAGTTTGCATCATAATTTACTTAAAAAAAGAAATTCCTTCAATTTAAATCATTTTTTCCTTTAGAGATGAAGATTCTCGAATTCGAGCAAACGCGCTCGGATATTTGCAAAGCATTGCAAAAGTAAGTTATTATTCCAATCGCATCAAATAATGACATAATTCGTGTTAACAATTATCCTTTGTACTTAGGTATCATCAAAGTTGTTGTATCAATATTGGAGCCTTTTCCTTCCTTATACAGAACCTTCTGACTCTTCTCCTCCATCATTGCTTACTATCATTACTTGTGAACCTACGCTTACAGTTCGTATAAGTGCTTGTTCTGTAATCACTACAATGATTGATAGCTCTAAGCAATATTTAGCTGCTGCAGATGATCGGTGAGTGTTTGTGTTATGTCAAATAATGATATTTCTTATGAAAGCAACCTAATCATATTTTATTTGTCTTAGAGAGGTTAAAACTTCTTTCACTTCATTATCTGCGAAATTGGGTACTATTGTACGAGAACTTCATGCTGGATTACTTCAAGTTATTTCGAGAGAAGATCATAATCTTGTTTTAACTCAGTTATTAAAGGTATGTATTGTAAAATATATTTTTATAAAAAAAATCTATTTTAACTTTTTTTTTTTTTTTGTTTAAAAAATAGTGTTGCAACGTTTTGGCGAGCAATATGGCATATGATAGGTTAACGTCAGGATATCTATCTCGTGTATATTACACAACTGCGAATTTCTTGGTACACAATGGTATATGTAATATTTCGCATTTCACTTTTGTTCACTTATTTACATTTGATTAAAATGAAAATTTCATTATAGAAAATGCTGTTAGACTTGCAACCATGACTTTGATATCTACAATTATGGATTGTAAAACATGTATCAGGGAAGTGGATAAATTGTTATTAGCTGAAATTATTAATAGCGCTTCAGCAAATATCCCTAGGTCGTCATTTTTCCAAAATTATGGGGAAATGAGTCTTTTGTCTTATTTAGTGTTGGTGATTGGAAGTAAAGACCAATCACCTGCTATGAAAATTGAAGCATGGGGAGTTTTATGTGCTTGTACTAGAACTCATTTTAATCTAGTCAGGTAATTTAAAAAGCTTTTATTTAGAAAATTTTCCTAAAAAAAAAAATTATTTGTTCATTGAGATGATTTGTTTTTATTTCTATATTTTCCTCTAGTCCAGCTTGGAAGCATATAAATCCTTTGATTGTCAATGACCTTGCTTGTGAGGATGAAAAAATTAGAACAGCTGCAATGACATTTTTGATTGAATATGCTAAAGAACAAGCAGTAGCTTTATGTGGAAGTAGTCAAAACATTGATGAGGATGTTATGGTAAATAATTTGTTTGGCTAATTTTGAATTTATATCTTTATTGATCTATATTTATTCCGTTTAGGTTCAACGCGTTCAGAAAGCGGTTACTTCAGAAGTATTTCAATGGTGGAGTTCCGTATTTGATCAACATATTCAAAGTGCCTCAATTGATAAATGTCATGCTGTTAGAGCTTTAACATGTGACTTGATATCACACATTCCATCCGACGTGTTCTCGGAAATATCCGTAAATATATATATATATATATTCGTTTTGAAAGTATTAATAATGTTTTGGAGAACGTTGCCTATTCTAATATTTAATTGAATTATCAGATAGAGAAGAGGAAGTATTGTATTAAAATATTATTGGGATTTTCTAAAGACGAAAGTCCAAATGTTAGAGCATCTGCATGTAGAGGACTTGGTGTTTATATATTATTTCCTTGCTTACAACAGGTATACAATCATACATTAATTACTTTCATAAAAATATATATTAATACCTTTTTCTATTTAGGACACAAAATTTGCTTCAGATATGGCACTTTCGGTTATTCAACAAATGTCAGATCAAAATATTTTGGTTAGAATTAGAAGTAGTTGGGCATTAGGAAATCTGTGTGACACGATAGTGTTATTAAGGTAAATGACATCAGTAACGATTTTTTTTATTCAACATTAACCATTATTACATTTATTAAAATAATTTTTTGATATTAGTAACCCAGACAATAATCAAGGGATATCAAATAATAATACAAATTTGACCGAATTCTTGATTAATGTTATGTGGGCTAGAATAGTAAAAGCAGGATTAGCGGCTTCCAATGATAAAAATGAAAAAGTGAGACCTAACGGAGTCAGAATGTTGGGCAGTATAATTCACGTTAGTCCAACAAATTTCTTGGAGAGGGAAGAAAGGGGATTAATTAAAGATGTTGTAATGACTTTAATTAAGAACTTTGAAACAGGAACTTTAAAAGTATGTTTTATATTAACTAATGTCGCTTTTCTCAAATACTACCGAAACGCTTACACTTTTTTTTCATAAAAAAAAGGTTCGATGGAATGCGTGTTATGCAGCAGCAAATATGTTGCGTAATCCAAACTTTCCTATAGGGTTAAGATCCAACAATTGGTCAATACCACTATATGAATCATTAATAAAGGTAGTACAAACTTCAAAAAATTTCAAAGTTCGTATTAATGCGTGCTTGGCATTATCAACACCAACGACTCGTGCTAAGTACGGTGGCGATACTATAATGTTAAGTAAAATATTACAAGCCGTTGTAACTTCGTTAGAAAATGTTGATAATTTGACTGGTACTGGTTTTAGTGAAGTTAAATATCAAGAACAATTAAGAAATCAGGTAAGAAATTTTATATTTAAGAATCGTTTAGGAAGGTATGATTATGCTTAGATAATTAATCAAAATTATTTCTTTTTTTTAATTTAGTTGCTGAATACTTATCATCATTTAATTAATATTTCTTCCGTAAATGATAAAAGATTCATTGAGTCTTATATTCAAAGAGTTAATGAATGGAAAGAAACTCGA